GGTTCGGCCCGTATACGTCGCTCGTTCGAGCACGTCCTCCGCCGCTGCCGAGACAAGCAGCATCCCGTCGCCGTCATTTGTCAGCTTCACTCCGCTCTCCTTCAGCTGGTCGGCTAAAAGCAAGTTCGCCTACACGGCCGGCACGTAGAGAACGTCAGGAATGAGCACCTGCTTCCCGGCCTCCCTTTGTAGGGCCACGGTGCCACGGCCCCGAACGTCCTACAACACCCCATTGAAGCCGCGCACGTGCTTCACGTCGCCGCTCGGCTCCAAGTCGATGAAGGCGTCCTTCGTCCCCATTAGGTGGAACGAGCAGCCGCTGTCGAGCAGGACCACCGCCGGGTTCGCCTGCACAGCTGCCGCCACCGCCTGGAAATCCTCGCCAGCCTCCGGCGCCAGCGAGATGGTCGGCTCCACGACGCTGACCAGTGAGTACGACGCCTCCTTGTCGTCTCGCCCCTTGCCGCCAGCAGAGGACTCGGTGTCCTTCGCCGAAGTCAACTTGTTCGATTTCTTCTCCTTGCGTGGCTTCGTGTCCCGACGTGGACGGCGACTGCCCGACCTCCCGCGGCCTCCTTTGGCGTTGGCGTCATCGGAATCACTTCGGTTGGGGCACTCGAAGGAGAGGTGGTCGGGGCTGTGGCACAACCAGCACTCCCAACGCCGACTTCCTCCACCTCGACCGCCATTATGGGCCGACTTCTTCTTGTCGACGTCCTTTACGGCTTCCCGCCACTGCTTCAACCACTGCCAGACTGCCCGCGCTGCCCCGGTCGACCACCTTGCTTCGCCGGGGCGACGTAGTTCGCCTGCGGCAGGAGTTCCAAGGAACGCTTGGCCTCCTGCATCTCAATCAAAATTTCTGAATTTTGACACACCACAGACCTAGCCCTTGACCTCAAATCAGAGTGAATGTAAAATGATTGAGATGATTTAACAAATGCAAATACATGTGTATAAATATAAGTACAGGGGGAATACCAAACGTCTTATCTAGCCATATGTACAGGGGGTGCATTCCCTTATTCAAATTCAAACCCAACCGTGCGGCGCGTACAGTTACGAAACTGTTCCCGCCTATTTCATCGCTTCTGCAGCTGCCCGATGTTGTCTGCTCCGACGGTCCAGATGCTCTCCAACTGTTCGCGTCTCTTCGAGTCATTTCTGTCTCTTTGTCCCCATCCTCGGTACTGTGTGCTTCGCTTGCTGCTGTCAGGTGTGCATAGTGTTCCTTCTCAGTTTACTATTCGTAGCATCTACAAGTAGATACAAAATGGTTCTTAGCCTTGTCCCTTCTTTTACACAAATATTCTTATAGAGACGTAAATGCTACTCATCCCGTTCTCCTGTAGAATGCTTGCGTAACTTAGAATAAATTGGATATGATTTGGTTGAGAGGGGATCATAGAGTTAGAAATATATATTTAATTAGAATAGATCAGCCTAATAACGTACGGTACTTTCATTGGGATGCAGATACTATTAGATTCTCACGGTCGCAATACGGATAAGAACGGAAGTGTTGATGCTACGTGATTGCATCAAACCTGCGTATTGCTGTTATAACCATATGGTTGAATGAAGACTGAAACATATTTCATATCCCGTAAGAAGAATTTGTTATTGCTGAAATAATAACAGCAATGTTGATTGCCAAAATAAGAAAGCAGCATAATATTATAGCGCGGTTGATCGGAGTTGAAGAATGGGTGCGAAACATGGCAACTGTTCACGTAGGCCAGATCTATGTGTACGGCGATTGTGAGAGTACGCCGATGTTCGACATTATTTTCACTTCCATATTATTACTCTATCATTTTCTCCTTATTTTTCTCTTTCATTGCACTTCACCTCAATCGGACTACTATTCTATTTTCGAGAACTATTCGATTATTTCACTTATTTTGTATTTTCGGCACCGACAATTACATTATACGGCACCGACAGCACCGACGGTGGTGCAGAAGGCGTAATCTCGCCATAATCCGAAGTGCCAATGGGCTTGCGTGCTTATGCGCACTAGTGATTATGTATTCTAGAAGAGCGCGTTCCCGAAGGTTCGGTAATCTGTTGTTTCTATGTATTTCCGAGTATAAATACGCCTTGTACTCACCTTTAGTGCAACATTCTTGAGTGGAAATTCGATCCTGTAATACTTGGTTATCAGAGCCGTTTTCACTCGCGGAGTTTCAGCTAAGCGGCGCGACAGCAAATTCCCTGCTTCGAAAAACCGCCGGGAGCGAGAAATTCGGCGCCGACGCTGGTAAGCACCAGATTCCGCGTTTTTTTAATGACCCCCATTACGCGTTTTTTGAACAGGATCGTAAGTTCAACTGTTAGAGAAATCTTTTGCTAAATAGCAACCACAATTGCGAATTTTCGGGACCTATATCTGTTGGGTGCAAATTCATATTGCACGACATCCTGCCGCCTGTTTGTACGAGTATGCGTGTGTGAATGCATTTGGGTGTGATGGAATGTGCGCTTCGACACAACATTGTACGCGCTATGAACAGTGCAAGCAGAAAGAACGAGCTCGCAAAGGAACCCAAGATGGAAGCTTTGCAGTTTGGTTGAGTTGATTGCGCAGATTCAGTTCTATCCAACTCGAAATTGTACTGTTTTGTTTGGTTGACTATAGTGTAGCAGGGCAGACACTATAGGGGTACAATTTAGGTGAAGGTTGGATGTTGTTTGTCTGTATCTGCATGCTGTAGGGCCAAAAGAAACCAGCGGAACCAGCATTTGGCTGGTTGGGAAAAGACAAAACAGGTTCTGTTTTTTGAACCTGAACCTGGTTGTTGTTTTCACAGGTTGGAAAAACAGAACCAGAGGATGTTTACCAACCTACCACATGCTATTTTCTCCAGCCAGGCTAGTTTTGTTGCTTGGAATTATTTGGGATCATCCCTGGTTCTTCCCAGGTTGATTCCCAAGGTTCTTGCTAGCTATAACTATTTATTCCTTCTCTGTTTGTACCTGGATATAGTCAATTGATTCAAGTGAATTCCTTCCTCGCTGGAATTTCGTTTCTGCGCTTTTCGACAGCGGAATGCTACCCAAGTCAACGCTAGTATGCTAGCACTACAATGCTAATTCATAATGGCAGAACTTTTTGCGAGGCAACTTGGCTTATTTTAAAGCTCTTGGAGCGAGCTTCGGTAAAGCGAATTCTCAGTTTTATCTGATCAACGGACTACACGGCACGCTGCGCGACGTTCAAGGTACTCTCGTTATTTTGGCTAAGTCATTCTTGACTCCTCTCTCTACAAACTCGGACCCGAGGATAGGGGCTGGTCTTGTACCAGGCACCCAGGGACACTTGGAGGTGACCCCGAGGAGAGGATTTAAGTTTGATTAAGTCTTAATAGCTTGAGATTATTAGGCTCTTACACAAACAATATCGAGCAGTGTAAAACTGACGAGACCGACGCGCAACGGATCTGGCGACTTCGGATGAAAGCGCGAGTCATGGCGAAAATCGCGACAGTAGCAGAATCGATCGTGACTTCGCAGCAGTCGCGAAAATTTCTCAAAGCCCTAGATATTAAAGCCCCTAACACCTTTAATGGGGAAATCAGCGCGCAGCGCTTGCTTTTGGCGATCGAAATATATTTCGCCGCCATTGGATGGACAACACCAGAACTCGACAGAGACAGATTTAATTTTGTAGCAACAATACTGCGCGGACCAGCAATTGAATGGATAAGCGGAAGCGGTTTGTTAAAATAAGGCGAAGCGACGTGGCAGCAGTTCTGTGAAAGATTTATACAACGTTTCGAGCCAATAAATGCTGCATTAATTGTCTGCGACAAAATACATCGTCATTGACAAATCGGGAGCGTCACAAACTACACGCAACAAATGGAAGAGTTGTTCAACCGCATCCCCGACGTCACCGAAGGCAAAAAAATTATAGCATTTATTGCGGGGCTGAAATACGAAACACGACAACACGTTGCGGCCGCAAATTGGAGCAGCTACAACGACATCGTATCGGCAGCAGAGTGTTTCGACGTAATCACGATCGGAACACGACGACTTCATGGACGAGCAAAACGACATGGAGGATGCTTGGCTACCCGCACGTGCGCCGACCTGATGGAACTCGATCGACTCGACGCGAAGGCAAGACCAAATAAGAACGAATCTAAGTGTTCTTTCTGCGGCAAGCCGGGACATCGACTCATCGATTGTAACAAAATGAAAACCGCACGTGCATCAGCCCGTCAGTCCTGTTGGTGCAACCCTACGGTTTGCACTCGGCTTGTTGTCCGTGTGCGTGCATGCGTGAGTGCATGGAATGGTATGAGGACATGAGATAATATAAAATTTCATGCTTATAATAGTGTGTGAATGATGAGTCATGATGTCGAATGTTTGTGTCGACTCCATAGCGAGTTATCGCAAGTCGCGTGTCACGATGTCGTTTTGTGTCTCTCGTATGGTTTCTATTTTGTCTTGTTTCGAACGTTCGGCGTGTCGCAGATGTGTGCAGCACACCCCTCAATATCTCAAGGATGAGTTTATGGTGAAGAACCAGAGCCTTGGTTTTAAGATAGTGAAAACAGTTACATTACATTTTGTAGTGTAACATTTCTCTTGGTTCGAGACCCTTCTTGGTTGGGGACAGTGTGGCACTATTCCACATCACTGTACCTCGGCTCTTGGGTTTTGTAGAGGCTGAGAGGCATTTCCACCCTGCAACTCTTCCTAATTTTGTATTCTAAGACTATAGTGGCTGCCATAGTGCCGTTCGCTCAAACTAACGTTGCGTCGTCAATACTTGATAAAATCGTGCGATCTAAATTACCTATTGTGGATGACGTGAAAACGTTCCAGATCCAATTTGTAGCACGTCATTTGGACTGTGACCACTATCAACGTTTAAAGCCGATGTGCAGAAATCCGACTGTACACTTGATCTTCCGATATTGGCACATTGGAGCCTATTGTGACTATAACAAGTGGTATCAGAGCCCACTAGAGCAGCTTGGACGATGGTTAGACCTGAGAAAAGGGGTGGCAGAGGTGCTGGTGGCAGTGGAGAAGCCCAAGCACAAGGCCGATCCCGTGATACCGCCATGGCGCCCGTGCAACCTACTCTTGGACCTTCTAGGGATGAACCAAGAGTGTTCGGGCTTGACAAGTACAACAGTGACAACTTTGCTGAGGGATCCTTCAAGATGGAGAATACATTTGACTACTATGACTTGCTAGAGGTGATGGAAGAAACGGAGAAGCGCCCCGAGAACGACCCGAAAAAGAGCCCGTGGGCGCGGAAGAGTGCACGAGGCTATCTCCTACTTGGGCAAGCGTTGGGGAGCAGCCAGATCCGTCACATCAAGCCATTCCAGCATAAATTAGAGAAGGGACCAAAGGCATGGGCTGCTCTCAAGGGTGTACACACTCCTACATCAGCGGCGGTAGTAGTGGTGTTGGAATGGCAAATTGCAACACTACGAATCGAAGAAAATGAGGCTGTTGAAGAAGGGGTGCAGAAATTCTTCGACTTGCTGACGTGGCTTGAGGGAGCTGATCTTAACTATAGTGGGCTCCAAAACAATACCAACTCGCTTGCTTTACTTCCGGAGTTATGGTCCTCGCTCATCATCAACCTCAATCGTGACTTGCCCCGCCTCTCTCTTGAAGACGTGAAGCGAGCATTCCTTCAAGAGGATTTCCGCCGCCATGAGTTGGCGGGTGTGGATGGCACTGGGGTAGCAAGCATCGGCCGTGGATATGGCCGTGGAAGGGGCAGAGGACGAGGAGGAGGCAGGTTTGATGGCAGCAACTTCAATGGAGGCCGAGGGAATGGCGGTTACGGCAGCGACGACAAGAGCTACGGACGCGGTCGCGGCCGATTCGTCGACAAGTGTCACTATTGACACAAAAGTGGACACATGTGGCGCGATTGCTACAAGATCCTTGATGGATGGACCCCTGCTCAAGGTGAAGAGGGTAGAGGAGCAGGTGGAGGGGGAAGAAGAGGCCGTGGAGGCCGTGGCGGTCGCGGAGGTGGTGCTGCAAATATGAAGAGTGGAGACAACGGGAGCGAGTCGAGGGACGATTGCTTTTCGGGCCAATTATTCTTCGTCTCGACGCAAGCACCTGCTGGACCAGAGATTGTTGAAGGCTTTGAGGATCCAGAAGCTGTGGGAAAGGTCACCCTAAACTCCCTGGACTTTTGGGTGATCGATAGCGGCGCTACCTATAGCATGACACTTCACGCCGACTTGCTCACCGAACTCGAACCGTCACCGGTAAAGCATGTCACAACGGCTCTGGGGCAGCGAGCAGAGGTGAAAGGCATGGGCAAGGCCATGTTCAAGGGTGCTGATGGGAAGATGGTGGGCCTCAAGAACGTTCTTTGACTGCCCAGCCTTGCAGCCAACCTGATTTCCGTGCGGCGGTTGCAAAAGGCCGGCAGGGACACGAGCTCGGCCAGCATGGACACGAGCTCGAAGGGAGCCAAGACCTACACCGCAAGGATTGGCGAGCGATACTTTGGGAACTTCGCAAGGATAGGGATGTCTACAACAAGATGTGGCAGATCCCTGTGGTCCCTATGCCTAAGGAGAGGCAAGTGGCACCAAACGTCAGCACCAAGGGTGAAGCGGTTGGTAGCCTCCAATCCGACTTCGGCTACGGGGGAGTGTGATTGGTTGACTTTGCATCGGTGCATAATGCATGTAGCATTGCCCATCTTGCAGTAGCTGGTGAAGAATGACATGGTTGCTGGCATACATGTGAAGGTGGAAGCCCGATAAGGTACTTGGCTGACCGACGTGCATGCAAGCCAAGTTGACCCATTTCCCGTTCTCGAGCTCGGAGGCAACGGCTAAGGAACCACTTCATAAGGTGGTGATGGACGTGGTGGGCCTCCTGAAGCTTGAAGCTACTGGAGCTGAGTCCTTCCTCACCATTGTGGACGTCTACACCCGCATGACTTGGGTGTACGTGCTGTCCAAGAAGAGCGACGTGGCTGAAACGGTGAAGACCGATTGGTTGCCGATGGTGGAGCGGCAACAAGACCGTATTGTGAAATCAATCCGCACCGATCAAGGGGGAGGGTTCCTGAGCAATGAGTTCTCTATGTGGCTGAAGAATAATGGCATAAGGCACTCTCTTACTATGCCATACTCCCCTGCAATGAACGGCATCGCCGAGCGAGCGAACCGGACAATCACGGAGACGGCACGCGGGTTGCTCATTGAAGTCGGGCTACCCGATTACTTTTGGCCTGATGCGGTGCGGAGCGCGTGTGTGGCCAAGAACAGAGCTTTGACTCACGTGGGAGCAGACAAATGGGTGTCCTATGTAGAGTGGATCGGAAGGAAGCCCAAGGTGGATATGCTTCGGGTGTTTGGGTGCATGTGCATGGCGCTCGTACCTAAGCATCTTCGGCACAACAAGCTTGGTGCCAAGGCGATACGGGTTGTGCACTTGAGCATGGCTCAAAACAGCAAGGGTTGGGACTCATTCACCAAGAATTTCTTCGTGATCAGGGACTGCAAGTTCATGGAGAACCTGATGTATAAGGATTGGAAGGCGGAGGATGAGGCGAAGATAGGCGTGCGGATTGGGGAAGTGAAAAGTTCCGGTTTGGAGCATGTGGAGCTGCCTTTGGAGCTGAACAGCGGCGGCACCTTCACAAAGCAATCTCCTCTTGTGAATGGGGGAGAGGAGGCCAAGAATGCAGAGGAAGAGGAGGAGGTGCAGCAAGTGAGCGAGCGTGCACCGACACTTCCCTCTTGTATTACGAGTGCTCCACGGATCCGAGTCACCCTGCAGCAACGCCAAGGCCTTCAAGTTGTTGGTGTAAGGGCCTAATAAACTCAAGCTATTAGGACTTAATCAAACTTAAAACCTCTTCTCGGGGTCACCTCCAAGGGTCCCTGGGTGCCTGGTACAAGACCAGCCCCTATCCTCGGGTCCGAGTTTGTAGAGAGAGGGATCAAGAAGGACTTAGTCAAAACAGCAAGAGTACCTTGAACGTCGCGCAGCGTGCCGTGCAGACCGTCGATCGGATTAAGCTGAGAATTCGCTATATCGAAGCTCGCTCCAAGAGCTTTAAAATGAGCCAAGTTGCCTCGCGAAAAGTTCTGCCATTACTAAGTTCTGGCTCGGACAGCGTTTGCCTAGCGTTGGAGTGCTAGCATACTAGCGTTGACTCGGGTAGCATTCCGCCGTCGAATAGCGCAGAAACGAAATTCCAGCGAGGAAGGAATTCGCTTGAATCAATTTGACTATATTCAGGTACAAACAGAGAAGGATTAAATAGTTCTAGCTAGCAAGGACCTTGGGAATCAACCTGGGAACAACCAGGGATGATCCCAAATAATTCCAAGCAACAGAACCAACCTGGCTGGACAAAATAGCAGGTGGTAGGTTGGTAAACAACCTCTGGTTCTGTTTTTCCAACCTGGGAAAACAACAACCAGGTTCAGGTTCTAAAAACAGAACCTGTTTTGTGTTTGCCCAACCAGCCAAATGCTGGTTCCGCTGGTTTCCCCTGGCCTTGTAGCATGCAGATACAGACAAACAACATCCAACCTTCACCTAAATTGTACTCCTATAGTGCCTTCCCTGCTACACTATAGTTAACCAAACAAAACAGTACAATTTCGAGTTGGATAGAACTGAATCTGCGCAATCAACTCAATCGAACTGCAAAGCTTCCATCTTGGGTTCCTTTGCGAGCTCGTCCTTTCTGCTTGCACTGTTCATAGCGCGTACAATGTTGTGCCGAAGCGCACATTGCGCGAGTACCTGCAAATGCATCAAGCGAAAATTGCGAAAGCAAACAAACACACGAACACACCATTCACACGCAAATGCATTCGCACACGCATACTCGTACAAACAGACGGCAGGATGTCGTGCAATGTGCATTTGCACCCAACACACTCCCCCTCAGCCTGCCGGCTGCATCCCCGTCATTCCATGCTAGTTCATGCTCATTCCACTCATGCGCACACAACGCCAATGAGGCTCATCCGCAAGCCTCTTGGTGAGAAAGTCTGCTGGCTGCTGGTGAGTCTTGATGTAGATCGGATGCACCGTCCCCCTCTTCACCTCCTTACGCAGCCAGTGCCACTTGATACGCATGTGCTTGTTCAGCCCATGAAGCACAGCGTTCCTGGCCATCCCAAGAGCCCCCTTGCTATCACAAAACAGCGGCGTAGCAACTTTCTGCTCCTGGCCAATCTCCTCTAACAGCCTCCTCAGCCAAATCACCTCCTTCACCCCATGGAACATCGCCATGTACTCTGATTCTACGGAAGAGAGTGCCGTCTCCGTCTGCTTCTTGGACCTCCAACTAACAGGTCCTCCCCCAACTACGCAGATGTATCCTCCCACAGATGAGGAATCCTCCTTCTCAGAAGCCCACGTAGCATCGGTAAAGCAAGTGAGAAATAGCTTGCCTTCTCCAAGCCTCTCCCCCTTCTCTTTCAGCACCTCCACCCCTTTCTGCTTCACCTGTGCAGATGCGGAGTATTGAACTCCAATGCTTGGGTGAGAGTTCAGGTACTTCACCACACGCTCAGCTGCATCCACCTGCTCCTCTGATGGATTCTGCACCACCCTAGCCAGCTGCCCAACCGAGAAAGAGATGTCGGGCCTCGTGTGAACTGCTGCGTACAAGAGGCTGCCCACCAAGGACTGAAATTGCTGCTGCTCCTCGGCTTCAACCCCTTCATCCTCTGCAGCCTTCACAAGCTTGAATTCTGCTGGCAGGGGAGTTGCAACCTTGCGCTCATTCTCAATCCCATACTTCTCCCCCAGCTCCTTGATGAACTTCTCCTGGTGCAGCTTCAACCACCTGTGATCAGGATCCCTCTCCACGTGCATCCCGAGGTAGTACTTTACCTCCCCAAGGTTCTTGCACTTGAAGTTTTCCATCAGTTGCTGCTGCACTTTCTGGATCTCCTTCATGCTGCTGCTGAAGAGAAGAATGTCGTCCACATAGACCAGAAACAGCACCAGCTTCTCCCCCTCACCCTTGAGAAAGAGGCTCTCATCACAGCTGCTGGTCCTGAATCCCATCTCCTCTAAAACAGCTGCCAACTTCTGGTACCAGCAGCGTGGCGCCTGCTTCAAGCCGTAGATGGACTTGTTGAGCTTGCACACCCTGCCCGTACCATCCTCATACCCAGGCGGCTGCGTCATGTACACATCCTCCTCTAAAATCCCATTCAGGAATGCCGTTGAAATATCCATCTGAATGATGAATTTCCCACTAACAGCTGCATCTGCCAACAAGACACGGAGGGTAGGGGGTTTGGCAGTGGGAGCAAAGATCTCGTTGAAGTCCTGCTTCTCCTTCTGCATAAACCCCTTCGCCACCAGCCTACTCTTGTAGATGGTGACCTGCCCCTTGTCATCGGTCTTGATCCTCAGCACCCACTTGCATTGTATCGCTTTCTTCCCATCAGGCAGCACCACCAGATCCCATGTCCTATTCTCCAGCAGACTCTGGTACTCAGCATCCCTAGAAGCCAGCCACTTGTCCCTATCTGGTCCAGCTAATGCCTCCTCCATGCTAGCTGGTTCCTCTGGTGCAGGGGTAAGAAAACAGTACGCAGGCTCATCCTCCTCATCCGGGTCATAGCCATGAGGTAGAATCAGCAATGCCTCTTCGGTCCCTAGCTGCTGCTCTGCTGCATCAGTTCCTGCAGTCAGCTTCTTAGTAGCCATACGGGTACGTCCTGGCCTGGAGACGGGTGTCTCCCATCCCTTCATAACGACACCCTTCGGCTTCTTAGTTTTTCCCTGCTGCTTCTCTCCTCCCTCGGGTCCAGCAGCTCCACTAGTGCTGCCGCCAGTTTCCACACCATTTTCTCCACCAGCAGATGCCTCCTGTACCTTCTCTCCATCACCATTTCCAGCAGCTGCCTCCTCTCCCTCCTCCCACACACTAGGAGTCAGGTCCAGCTGCATGGTGATCTGCTCCATCTGCTGGGACACCCTTGCCTCCGGCTGTTTCTCCCAGCTCCCATACATCATGCCCTCAATGAATTTCACATCCCTGCTGTCAAACAACACACCCTTGGATGGTTCCCACAGCAGCCATCCCTTGCTCTCAGCAGCCAGCCCCAAATGCACACACCAGATTGCACTCGCCCCCAACTTACTGCGGTAGGTCTTGGGGACGTGGGCGACTGCCATGCAACCGAACACCCTCAGCATGTCCACCGGCGGCTTCCTCCCAAGCCACCTCTCCAAAGGCACCCACGAGTCATTCCCAACCTTGGTGAGCACCCTGTTCCTAGCGACAGTGGCGTGCCGGACAGCATGAGGCCACATAGAATTGCTCAGCCCAGATTCTATGAGCAGCGCCCTAGCTGTCTCCAGAATGGTCCGGTTTGCC